GTGTGTGAGAGAGAGAGAGAAGCGGGTGTTGGAGAGGAGGAGGAGGAGAAAGGAGCTGTTCAACTTTACTTCAGGCTAAAGCTGCTGAGTTTTTGATTTAAAAAAAATCTGCAACTTTCGTCTGTATTCATGATGCAAATGAGGGCATTTTATGTAATTTACAGAAAATCAGTACAAGGTGACAACACTAGTGTGTTGAAAGTGAACTTATCTTAAGATTTTCACAGTTTTATCTTGCCTTTTCTCTGACAATAACATAAAATCCAAGGCAGTGATTGGTCCATGCTGGGTTTTTTTTTTTCTAAGGACGTCATCCAGGATCAGTTTTGTGGCACAGCCAGGTGTCACAGATAAGCTCTAAGACTGACACTTAAGAATTACTCCTACACTTCACTTAAAATAAGACTGAGATGCTTGATAACTGACTTTTACTTTCTGCTTTTAACTAAGAATTATTTTACACTTAAGTCCACTCTTAGCAAGTTTGATAAATACAGGCCCAGAGCTTTTCCTTAATTTAACTTTATAAAACTCTAGAATTAAGTCAGAGAGCTGTGACAGTTTTGGTAAGCATTTGCTGTATATATACATATATCACTTTATAAAAGTGGGCTAAAGATAGAAACTGAAGGATGTTAAACTGTAAAACACGTCTGGTCCTGTTGGTTCTAACCTGCTGTTCAAACAGAAATCCTGAATGTCTGCTTTGTGCAGCGGAGCATTAATGCCATGTTCTGGTTCTGGATCTTGTTTGCCTTTCTTGCATAGAGTTTCTAATATGGTCCCAACATGGAGCTGACAGAAGATGCTGTGTTGAGTTGCTCCTGCTTGCTGCTTGCTGATTGGCTGAAGTCTTCACACGGCTCAGTGTTTCTCTTAGCAGGAACCAATCTGCGGGAGGCGGAATATGAAACCAAACGGGACAAGAATCAAGAAAAGTGGAACGTGTCGTTAGAGTACCCATCATCCCAGGTTTCTGCATCTTCCAGTGTATCCGGCAGAGGCCTGTCTGCTGTTTCAGGCAGGGCCAGGGCAAGGACGGCGCCCAGGAGTGGAGAAGTACCGAAGATGATGAGGGGTGCGGTAGGGTTGTGGTTATCCATCATGTTGATAATGGGGGCTAACACGCCACCCAACCTCGCAAACATGCCGGCAGCACCTATCCCCGTTTGCCTAGAGGTACAACAACAACAAAAGTTGCACCAGTGTGTATTTGAGGGCATTTTAGATGATTTTGAAATACTGTACGTGGAAGTCCTACCTCACCACAGTTGGGAATATCTCTGCAGTGTATACGTAGATGACGGCAAAAGAAGCGGTTATACCAAACTTGCCGACCATGGCAAGCCCAGTCAGGATATTGGGATGATCTGTAGACAGACATGAGAGGAAGCTGCTTGAAGGTAAAGAGGGTACGGTTTTCAGGAATGTCACTCAGACACCATCCTACCAGCGGGGATGGAGAGCATGAGCAGACAGGCGAGACCCCCAACAGCCAGAAAGCCGCTCTGGCTGAGCCGGCGGCCAAACGGCAGGACGAGGAGGACCAAAGTGCGAGCTGGGATCTCCACCAACCCAAACACAAACTGGGTCAGGTACAGGTCTGTCCCTAACCTGGATACACCCAGGGAGAGTCCGTAATACACCAGCACATTCACAAACCTGGGATTAAAACCAGGAGATTTTTAACAACAATGGAAGAAGGGAGGAATTTAATTCATCTTATCCACCACCCAGAACCCAGAAACTGGACGTACCAGATGTAGAACAAGATGACGGCTCGCTTTCTCATCTGAGGCGTTCGGATCAGATCCACTGCTGAGTGACTTTGCTTCGCCCCGCCTACAATCTCCCACTTTTCAGCCTCACACAAAAATAAACGAGTAAATCAAAACCTTGTGGCATTTTATGTTTTAATATTGTTAAATCCCTTAAAAAAACAAGACACACTTGTGCTACAGATGTTGAGTTGACTAAACTAAACCTAAATGCTGAATAGATGATTTAGTTGCTCCATTTCAGAGGGATATGAGACAGGCAGGGTGAGAAACAGGCCATGTGTCTGGATTTGATTTTCTTTGTGGAATCTCTATTTGGTCATGGTTAGATATTTCAGAACTGTGAAACAGACAGATGAAACTCAGAGTGGACAGGAGGAATGCATTAGTGAGCCCAAAATACCACAAAGGGCAACAACAGTGGATTACCACAGGATTTTTTTTTCTTTTAAAAGACATATCTGAGGGTTTACTGAGTTATTCACAACATGCTGGGTATTTTAGTAAAAAGTGCTCAGACTCCATCAGAAGTGCAGCATCTTGCTGCTGCTTTTTTCAAAAAAATCACAGAATTCTGTGTAAATAACATTTGTAATGTAAAATAATGACAACATCTGTAATATTGTGTTCAAATTTAAGACTGGAGCTGTTTTAAAACAGCAGAAATCCTGTTAGCTTTGCTTGAATTAGTTATTAGCTCAAGTCAGAAAACAGAGTTAAATATCACTAGAATGAGCCCCGCCTAGTCTGTCCACTGTTAGACCCGGTCCCTATACTCGCACTACACCTTTATGTCCTCTTTGAAGTGCACTCAGCTGCAGTGCACATAAAGGTTAGAGTGTGCAAAAACTAGAGAATTGGGACAGTTGGATTACATCATCGACTTGCATCATAACTGCAACAGTGAAAAGTGTAGAACCGGTCACTGTTTTGGGATCTGTACTGCTAAAAATGATAGTAAAACTACAACAAGCAATTGTTTTTAGGAGACGAAAGCCAAAGGTTTATTTATATACACCAGAGTATAAAAACTTTTTTTCTGTAAGTTCTTCTTGTCAATTGCAAATTTTCAGATTCCTGCTTTTTAAGCTTTTGATGCCTGGATCATCCTGATCCAGAGATATGGCTTGATTTGTCTTCCAAATCAGAATAAGTTATTATTTGGTCTGACAGTTTCCGTCCAGTGACACTGGATAAAATTACTATCTTATTATGTGGCCACAAGAACTTTTTTTTACCCAATGTCACTGAACTGGCTCTGTAGAATCTTATTTTTAGGTTATTATAATGACATTTTAATTGTAATTTTAAAGTGGAAACCTGAAAACTATTTTGGACATTAGGATTTACCAGCTTGGAAAAAAAACTTTGCTAGCTTGCAGGAAAAAAATACAAAATTTAAGACTTTTCTGCCTATAATCATTTAGTAAAAGA